CAAACAATATAACTTTCTTTAAAAGACCTTTCCTGACCAACATTCACAGAGTTAGCCTTCCCCGCTTATGCTGTTATTCTTCAATTAGAATGTAAGATACATGAGGGTGGGACTTTATTTTTACTACTGAATCCACAATTCCCAGAAGAATGACTAGTACATAGTAGGCAATCAGTAAATATTGGCTAAATGGGCAAACGTTCATTTGTTTATGTTAATTCTGACAGCAGAGACCTTCTCTATCTTGTTCACTTCCAAATCTAATAACGTCTAACTCTGTGTATGGCAAGTAGTAGGTGTTAAATATATAGCTTTTGAATAAGTAAATATGTATGACTCTTTTTCTGAAGAAAAAGTAGGAGAGAGAAATAAGGATTAGGGAGAACTGAAAAGAATATGAAAATCCAAAACAAAATAAGGATCACATTCTGATTCATTATACTTAAGGGCACATCATCATAGCTATGAATGCCTGCTGAAAATTATATCACTACATAAAAACACACCTCTGAATAGTTTTTAGAACACCTAATCTTTATGAAATTTGTGCCTTTGATCCAAAATGCAAAGAGGTAATCAGTAATAATCACCCTCTTTCACAATTTTATAATCAGTGATAAGATAACTACTTCTTACATCTATCTACTCAAGTCATGCAAATAAGCATCTCTGCTATCTATATAATATAAATGTGAGACCAATAGACCAAATTAAATCTTTTTCACTATCTGAAATAGGAGTTTTCAACCAGGAGAAACATTCATTACATGGAATACTGCCTTTCAAGCAGTAAGTTATTGAACACAATTTTCATTTCTGATATATTAACTATTAGGAATTAACTGTTGGTTTTTCAATATACAGGCATAAAAACCCAATAAAAAATTACTGAGCACCAAATGTGTGCAAAGTAGTGATCATGGTATCTCCCCTGCCAGGTAAGTTGTCCGGTACGGGCGCGACACTGAGGGTTGCGAACCATTGCTGGACACGAAAAAAGACAAAAAAAAAAAAAAAAAAAAAAAAAAAATCAAAGTAGTTTGATGGGTTTTGAGGATACAAAGATAGGCAACTCATTGATAGATTAATAAATATCTAATTATACATATTATGAAAGGTGATAGATATTAAAAATATGCATCGAGTGCTATAGTAGCCCAAGTGAAGAAGTAGTTAATTCCAAAGTGATGAGGAAATGATACAGCCAAAGAACAATATTTGAGTTGGATACTAAAAATGAGTAGGAGCTTGTCTAAAATGTGCTTATCTCTTTCACATTTCTCAATCAGACAAATATTTAAAGTAGTGCATCACTGTATTGTAAAACATTACTTAAACAAATCACAGAATGACAAAAACATGAATATTTTGGAAACAGAATATATCTAGTCAAATCCCATTTGAAAAAAATAAACAGAACTCCCAACAAGTAGGTAAAATGAAGCCATTTTAAATGACTTCTTCAAAATAATACATTAAAAAATTTCAAGAATTAGAAGTAAGTCTTCTGACTCCTAAATTACACTATTTCAACTAGAAAGCTTTTTATTCTTTAAGAATAAAGTAAAACTTCACAGTTAGTAAACAACTAATTACTTAATGACTACAGTAAATTGCATTTTACATAACGATAAGTGTTCATGTATTTTTTCTAGTCCTTTAGCACTCATAAAATAAAAATTAATTCTCCAGCCTATAAAATTAAAAATATATAATGCACTTCTTAATTATATTATCATGTAAGCTAAAGAATTATTTTCATTAAATGTATGTTTAGTCTACTTTGATATATGTATTTATCATAATTCTGAAACAATAAAGTTACATTTTAAAAACGAAGACTCATTTTTAAAAATTGATTTATTATATATTGAACCTCTGGGTTTTTTTCAAGATAGAAAAAAGACTACAATACAATAAAAAAAAGTACCTTACTTCAGGATATTACCATTCATCTCAATAATTATTCTTCTCACTTTTGTAAACCTGCATTTAATTCTTCTTTAATAAAATAAGTAAACTGCCTTCATGCTCATGCTTAAACATGGCAGGGCTGATCCCCCACTGGATTGTCTGTTCCCTCTGCTTGAATGCTCTTTCTCCAGCTATCCACATGGCTCACTCCTTCACTTCCTTCAAGTGTTACATCATCCATCACCTTCCCAATAGGTCCTACCATGGTTATTCTTTTTAAAATCTCAACCTGCTCTCCTCCACCCCATCCTGCCCCCAATCTTGGTGCCCCTTACCCTGCTCTAATTTGATAGCTCTATTACCTCCTAACACACTACATAATTTCCTGTATATTATGTTTTATTTACTGTTTTTTTCCATAATAAAATGTAAGCCCCATGAGGGCTGAAATTTTTGTGCAGTTTGTTCACTGATATATCCCAAAGACTTTAAAACCATGCATGCCACAGAATAGGTGGCTCCCTAAATATTTGTTAAATATTAAATAGAAATGAAGAGAAAAGAGTAAACAGAAAAATTTCAAATTGTTCAACAATAAATTCTATCAAATACTTAAGAAATAATGCCATCCATCTTATGCATTTTTTTTTCAGAGAATAGAGATAGAGGGAACACTTGAAATATCTATAATCAGAGTATATAAAATTGTATAGA